TATGTGATTTAATCAGATTTTTTTTACTGGTCTTTAATTATAAAATAATGCCAAGAACAAACAGAACTCATCAACAGAACACACCTGATAGGGTTTACTCAAGAATGTGCTTAGCCAGCCATGATGGCACACACCTATAATCCTAGTAACTGAGGAGGTAGACAGGAGCAGAAGGATCACAAGTTCAAGGCCAGCCTAGGTAAAGTTAGATAGAGTCTATTTCAAAGGCAAAAATAAAGCCAGATACAGCTACTATTAATTCCAGCTACTCCAGAGACAGTAATCAGAAGGAACATAGTTTGAGGCCAGCCTGGACAAAAAAATTAGTGAGATCCCATCTCAACTAATAAGCCAGGTGTGGGGTTCATACCTGTAATCCCAGCTATGTGGGGGGGGGGCATAAATAAGTAGATTATGGCCTGATGTCTGCTCCAGACAAAAATGTGAGATCCTATCCTAAAAATAACTAAATCAAAAAGGGATCAGGGTGTGGCTCAAGTGATAGAGCACATGCCTACCAAGTACAAAGCCCAAATTCAAACCCTAGTACTGCCAAGAAAAAAACAATAGTAATTTAAAAAAAAAACAAAACCAACAACTGGGGAGTAGTTCAGTAATGATGTTAGGCTTACCTAGCAAGCACAAGGTTCTGAATTCAGTCCCCATCCCTCCAACCCACAAAAAAGAAAAATGTGCTTCTTACCCTTGGTTCAGATCAAGAGTTTGTCAGGAAGGCTAGGCATGGTGGCTCACACTTGTAATCCCAACTACTCAGGAGGTGGAGATAAGGGAGAATTGCAGTGTGAGGCCACCAGGGCAAAAATTTATGGAGTTCAAACCTCGGTACAGTCAAAAAAGTTCATCAGGATCATAGTTGACCTCCAGGGCATTTATATAACGTATTGTTGCTACCGATTGCAATATGGGGAATGACTGGGGCCAGTTTCTCTCTCTCTCTCTCTTTCTCTCTCTCTCTCTCTGTCTCTCAGACAGGTCTTGTTACATTGCACAGGGTGGTCCTGAACTCCTGAGGCCAAGCTATTCTCCTGTGTTAGCCTCCCAAGTAGCTGGGGCAACAGGCACACCACCAAACCCAGTGTTATTTATTTGCATTTCCAGGATGTGCTCATACAGTGGTAAATCCGAGGGCATTTTAAACGCTCTTCAAAAATAGGAAAGAAGGTGAGGGAAGGATGGGGAGAGAAAAGTAAAGGAAAATTATAAACAAGGAAATAATATAAAATGATCTAAACTTTGAAAAATATACTGTTTCCCCAAAAGAGCAACCTGATATACATTCACACTACCTAAAAAAGGTAAGTTTTCCTTCCAAAGATTAGAAAAAACCCTGAAACACTGTAACACAGCACCAGCTCAGAAGCCATTTAGACAAAGGTGGAAAATTCAAGACCAGAAGCACATGGGAGCAACAGGAGAAGCTCAAAACACACAATTGTGCCACAGAGAAGATTATACCAAACTAGAGTCCTCTTGTGGCACCAGGTAAAAGGCCAATCTCCAGTGTGCCACAAACTACATGTGACACCAGAGACAAGATAAGGGCCCTGTTCTCAAGAAGAGGCTTAAGGGGGTATGGGACAAAGGTCACAGAGCAGCAGGCAGAGATGTGCAGGCGTAGGGACCAGGAGGGAAGGTACAACTAACTGCTGAGAATTCCCAGGGCAGAGTACTGGGGCCTAGTCTTGAGGACACACAGCAGTGGCTCCCACGTTCAGATGCTGGGAGGAAATGTGGAGTCAGCTTGAAGAAAAGCTGAGGAAGGGGGATGACAGCGGAACCAGTGTGGATACCTCAGAGGGCAGTGTACATACGGGATCCCACAATAGCCATTCTGACTTACAGCAGGACAGTGGTGTAGCAAGAAAGACTATGGCCTTGTAGAGTCTGAATTCAATCCTAAATCTTATAGGCAGACACTGGAGGACTGTGAAGGAAAGCAATAATACCTTCTGTGTTTCAACAAGATCACCTGTGGTTGTGTGGAATGGAGTGGAAGTGAAATCAATAAACGCTCCTGGTCCCCCAAATACGAAGATACAAACATCACCAAATAAAACCTCTAATTTTTAATTTTGAGTTTCATTTTAACTCATTTGCTCCTTTGATCGAATTAATATGAGACATTCTTTCTGTTCTACTTCACTGTTCAGATAAGTGTTCACATAATATGACTATACTTTCCTAGATAAACATTTGAGTATTTTTTCACCAAATTCATTCTAAGTTTAAACCGTGAATGAATTCATATGAAGAAAGACAATGACTGATAAAATTACATAATTTAAAATTCATTACAGGGAAAAATGAAAGTTTATCAAAGTAAAATATTTCAGAAGACAAATACTAATGTGTTTTTGTAGTAGTTTATAGTCACGTCAGATTAATAGGCAGAGACTCTGAAACAAAAACATCTTTGAGGGAAATAGGCTGTGAAAATGAGAGAAGAAACAGTCTTGTCTATTAACAGAATTTTAGACCTTATTTGTCAGAGCTCACAAGGCCTGATACCACCTCATGTCATTTTTTAAAACTGCCAAATTAATAGCTTGTATATAACAGACATAAGGAAAAAGGTGTGACATTGCACGGCACATGATGCTTTATCTCCCATGAATGTTTCACTGGTTTCTTGATGATCAAAATACAATGCACGTGGCAGGTTTGTTACCAGCACTAAAATGACTGGTATCAAGGAAGTGAGGAAAGGACAGTATGGTGGTTCAGTATAAAATCCAGGATTCTAGAAAACCATGGCTTCCCCACTGTACCCTATGCATGCCGGGAAGCTGCAAGTCCAAATAATACCAAGTGGCTATGACATATAAGAGTCCATTGGCCAAGAGCTAAGGTAGGGGATTAGAGAAAGCAGGGTTTCAGTGGACCTTGGAAGACCAGGGAACATTCATCTCATTCACCCTCCCGTTTTTTTTTTTTTTTCCAGTACTCAGGATTGAACTCAGGGCCTCAGGCTTGCAAGGCAAGCACTCTTCCACTAGACCACTTGGGCCAGCCCTTACCCTTCCTCTTATGATTCCACTATAGGATTAACTCAGTATTTTTATTTTATAATCCTTTTTAGGGTTAGAAGCTAGAGCTAGGTAACACTTAGTGCCATCTTGAAAATCCACAAATATAAAGGATGAAATGGAACAATACAGCCTATGACACTCTGGTTCCATCATTTCCTGTACACAGATGGATCCTAAGTGTTTAGTGCTGTCCTGCAGGCCTGGAGCAAGTAGCCTAGTGGTTAAGAACAAAGGCTTTGGTGCCAAACAAACCTGGTTGAACGTAGACAAATGGTTTAGCCTTTCTAGGCTTCAATTTCTACAACTCTAAAAAGGATGAGAATCACACTATCTTAGGGGGTTATGTGCACAGAAATGACACATGTAAAATGCTTAGCATTGTACCTGAAAAGCAGCCATTTAAATAATCACCACTATAATCATGTTGATCACTTGAGGCTTTAAGTCGCAAAACATGAAACATGAGGCTCACAGTAATGAAAGCCATTTGAAGACTAGATATATACAGAGGGACAGTAGGTGATACACAGGCAAGAGGCAGGAACTGCAGCTTCTCCCACATTTTAAAAAGAAAATATGCCTAAGCATGGAAATACTGTGAGCCATTATTTCTTTTGGTTGAACAACGGGTGATTTGAGATAGACACTCCTAAAAACGTCTATATTGCTTCCTCTAATACTTTGTGTTGTATTTTCACAGCATTGCATCTACTGGGCAATAAACTCAAGAGTATATAAAAATTAACTCAAAACAGATCAAAGACCTAACATAAGAGCTAAAACCATAAACCTCTTAGAAGAAAATGGGAAAAGCTTCATGATAGTGGATTTGGCAGAGTTCTTGATGTGACACCAAAATCATGAGAACAAAAGAAACGGTAGGTAACTCGGACTGAAACAAAATTATAAAGACACTAACTTTCAGTATTCATACATCAAAAAGACAAGTGAAAAGGGTAACCCACAGAGTGGAAATAAGTATATATATACACTTGTTTGTGTATATGTACATATTACATATTTATATATGTATATACACAAATTTTTGCACGCATGCACACATATAAACAGAAAATGCTTGAGGATGTGAGAAACTGGAACCCTTGTACACCTCTGGTAGCAAAGTAAAAACAGTGTGGTTGATATGAAAAAGTTATAGTTCCTCAAAAAAATTTAAAACAAAATTAGCATATGATCCCTCAATTCCACTTTTACATACATATACAAAAGAACTGAAAACATGGTCTCAAGGAGGTATTTGTTTATCTGTGTTCACAGCACTATTCACAATAGCCAACAGGTGGATGCAACCCAAGTGCCCATCAATGAATATGTGGATAAATAAACATGGCATGGTACTTACAATGGTATATTATCCAGTCTTTGAAGGAAACTCCAACACATGTTTCAGCATGGATGTACCTTCAGGACATTATGCTAAGTGATTTGACCACAAAAGATTCTACTCATAGAAAGTACTAAAAGTCAACAAATTCAAAAAGGCAGAAAGTAGAATGGTGGTTGACAGTGGCCAGGAGAGAGAGAAGTGGGGAGTTAAGTGTTTAATGGGTACAGAATTCCAGTTTTGGAAGATGAACTGCATGCTTTCATGGTGAGTTTTATGTTATGTGTTTTCTACAATTTTAAAAAGAGACATCAATAATCTGATTCCCACAAAATAAAACCATAGGAACTTACAATAATTATGTGTCAATTGTTTACACTGTATGTAGTTCTACTTTAGGTATCCCTACTTAAAAATTCTAGGAAATAATTTTTAAAAATCTAGACTTAAGTGCATAAGGGAAAAAGAAACCATGTCTCTAATGGTGTGCTAACATCACATTCACTTACTGAGGAATGTGATTTTCTTTCGTTGCCAAGACAGCAACTGTTGCTGTGGAAACCACACAAAAACAGGGATACTTAACTGAAACAAACTCTACTCACCTGCACAAAGATGCCCTTGCTCTTATACTCCTCATGGAGGCACCGAGAGAAGAAATCTACAAAAGCCTAGGAGGGTGGTGGGAATGAGAAGAAAACACACACATTACATCAAACTGCCTGATGTGTAGCTATGGAAACAAAAAATAATAAATTAACCATTTAATGCTACCATTTCTATCATTCTTTTCATTTCAAATGCTGAAGTGGTTGTTCTGCCATTAAATGATATATTATCTTACCAATATAACATCCATACCAATTTTTTATTTAATTGGAAAAGGCTCTTTTCTTTTCTTTTTTTCAGAAAATTACTTTCCAAGAAGAATTATTTTCATAGCATATAGCAAGGGATGTATTTCTACTTGCTACTCAAGCAGAAATGCAATATGAATCCCGTTCTGTGTTCAATGAGGACTTTGTTGTGTAAAGAACAAGTAATCCCTGGATACTTCAGCAAGGCAACATCTGAAAAACGCAGAGGTGAATGTGAGAGCCATCTTCTTCCAATAATACAGCCTGAAATCCATCCCTAAACTATATGGTGCCATTTCTCAATGTGGACTCAACATCAGGTTTGAAATGGCAAGTCCAATAATAAGTCTACAAAGGTCCCAGGGAGAAGAGGCAGGAAATTGTAGCTCAGCAATCGTTTCTAACATGCCGCATTTTAAACATGCTTACAGTATGTTCTAGAGACAGAGACAACAAATATATCACAGGGGGCTGGGGATGGTGTGCCAAGGTTTTTCAAGAAAACAGTAGTGGGGCTGGGGATGTAGCTCAGAGGCTGAACACTTGCCTAGCATGCACAAGGCCTTGGGTTCGATCCCTAGCACCAACCAACCAATCAATAAAAATGAATCAGTAGTTGCTGAGTATTTTTTCCAAGTGAAAAAGGCAGGCATTTTTTGTTCTTTTCCTTCCCTGACATACCATGACTTCTTATTGTGTATTATGATTTGCTTATTTTTCCTTAAAGGCTTATTTAACCATTAAGTGTCATTTTTCTCTCAGAAATGTATCTTACGTATCAATAATGTATCTGAACATGATGTTAGTGACCTGCAGGCAGAAGAGAGGCATTCTAAATTATTCCCTAGCAGTAACGTGAGGAAGTGAATGGTGGTGCTGTCAGAAATTATGACATCTTACAGAGTTCTGGAGAATTCTTGTCGCACCCCAGAAGTGACAAAGAGTATTTGTGAATTCCGGATAATGTGGTGAAACAGCGAAACAGTCACATTCTCACCAGGCTACTTTGTGGCTACTGAGTACATTTACATCTGACTGTATGCATTTTTTCTATGCTGTGTAAAGCTGACTCATTCATGTATATCAACTTTCTAATCTTTTTTATTATTGTGTTCTAATCACCTGGGCAATCTGGAATAGACTAACTGCATGGAAATCAGTAAAATGCATGGAAAAAGGGCAGTATCAGTGTCTCTGATATCCTGGTGCACCACGTGTACGCCTGTACCTATCAATGTCTCTCCAGCTGTGGCTCTCCTGAAAGTTATGTGGGATATTTTCCTTTCTTTCATAGTCCACTGGAAAACTGCCAAGAAAGAATTTTAAGAAAGTGAAGGATGGAGGCTTGGCTCAAGCAGTAGAGCATGTGCCTAGCAAGTGTGAGGCCTAGAGATCAAATACCAGTACTGACAAAAACAAAAAGAAAAATTTAAAAAAGAAAATTAAATCTACATTCATTGCTCAGACTAAAAACTATTCCTTAGTCTTGTACTGACATAATTTACTAAAATTCTGTTCACCTTAGTTGCAGAGTAGATGGTCAGCAGTGGAACTGGGAGCATGCCACTGGCAGAGGAGATGTTCAGAATCACCCCTTTAGATCTAAAATGAAAAGTGTACCAAGTAAATGGAGTGAAAACAGATATACAATCATAAACAATATATTCTATTGTTTGAGTGTTAAAATTTTTACCTAAATAATGTCATGTATTTTATAACCTATTCATTTTTTATTCAATATTGTTCCTGACATCTGTCCATACTAATTTGGCAGGTTGATTTAATGCATTCAATTTTATTAATAAATGATTTAACTCATTCTCCTACTTAAAAATGTGTGTATATACATACATGTATGTGTGTGCGTGTATACATATATGTAATTCACAATCGTGAATTACAGATCCAGATATATAGAAACAAAATGACAGGGCTGGTTTTCTAACATATATCTCTCCCTGCCTTTCATCAGCATGTGATCTGCTTGGTCAGTGAATGAGGCATAATTCAATGAACTAAAAATAGCTATTCTTTACAATTAGCTCACTTCCAGTCTTAATAATGCAGGGCATGACTGAATCAGCTCTACAGTCTCTTCAAGTTGATCTCTATTCCCTGGGGTTCTCTGAGGCTACATCATAGAGAATTCTCACAGAGCTGGGGAGGTAGCTCAGTGGTACAGTGCTTGCCTAGTATGCTTGAGACACTGGATTCCATTCCCAGCACCACAAAACAAACAAAACCCAAACACTTCGTAGACACTCTTATCTATATACACCTTTATTTTGGCATGTCATCACGTACTATCCTGCTGTAGTATTTAATCATTCTATGTATGTAAGCATTTTTATCCCCTCAACAAAATCATGAGCTTCTGGACATCAGAGCCCACTTGTCCTCAAACACCCTGCACAGTGCTGAGTAGGTCTGGCAATAAGTGAATGGCTATGTCTTGCCTTCATGCTTTCCTTGAGTTGTAGATATTTGGGCTCGAAAGAGCTGACTTGACAGTATGTGATTCTGTACTTCATCAAACCTTATTCTTCGGCCAAAAGGCAAAGCTCTATCTCTTTCTGTAAGTTTTAGAGTACTGAAAATTAAAAGGCAGAAAGTTGCCAGGAATCTCTAATTTTACAAATAAAATTAGTTTGAGGAAAACAAATGCTAACACCACCAGTTGTTAACAGCATACATGCCAGGTAATGTGTGGAATTATGGTTTTAGGAATGTAAAACTAACCACCAACTCTTCCTCTCACATCCATTTGTAGCACTGGGGATGAAACCCAGGGTCTTGTGCATGCTAGGTAAATGCACCATAGGAGCTACACCTGCAGCCACTCTTCTTTTTTAGCTACTGAAAACTAACCCCACTACCCCTGTCCTCTACACCAGGCATTTTTTCTTCAGCCCAGGTTCTCATGGTTCTTTGTCTGAATTTTTTTCCCCAAGCCACAGGACTTTGGTATTAGTATCAAAAGGGTGGGAGAGAGGGAATATGTAGACCCTTTTTATACAAAATAGCAGAGGATACATGATTAAATGGCATCTGAGTTATTTTAGACATAAATCTGAAAAGAAATAATCCCCAAAGGTCACCCGCTCCATCTGCCAGTCTCAAGGCAAAATGCCACTCCAACATCAAAGGGAAGTCTGGATCTTCTGCTTAATGTGTGTCACCGGAAACAATTTTTTTTTTAAAGAAAACAGATGTTCTTATGAGTAATATACACTTTTCTAAGTAGTGAGATCCATAAAAATTTTGGTAACAGAAAATTTCAAATTTAAAACTGTTATTAGGAATTTTGAAAAAAATGTTGGAAATAAGTGATTAATGGACTACATACATCATTCTTGTAGTTTTTGTTTCTCAGAAATAGAAACTTATTTTTTTTTGAGTTTATATTAGGATTAAGAATCCAAGGCTGAAGATAAAAATTGGTAAAATAGCAATGAATACCCAGTCATTTCATTTTATTTATATCTTGAGAAATTTCTTTGGTTAAAAAAAATAGAAAAACTACTTCTGTTGTAATCACAAATTATTCATTTGATAAAAATGGAATAAAGACCACTTTTGTGAAAGTATCTTTTTAGGATATTTAAAATTAGATTGTGATGATGGTTGTACAGTTCTGAATATGCTAAAAAAAAAAAAAACCACTGAGCTGAACACTGATAGACTTTATGGTACATAAAATATATCTCAATAAATCTGACATACAGGAATGTTGCTCTTAAGTTGGATCGGATCCCAGGTGGAAGATTTTGCAACACATTATGCTTTCTGAGAAGTAACCCCAAATCCTGACAAGTTAACCTCCCTCTTCCACACCAAGAATCCTTGTGTGTGTGTTTACTTTAACCTTTTCTCCTAGGACCAGGAATTGCTAAGTCTTCCCTCACACAGAGCTGGTAAAGCAGCCAGCTTGAACTAGATGCTGCTAATCCTTTTCACTGAGGTGTAGTCTCATTACTGGTTTTATCACTCCGATTCTGCACTCCACTATGGTAAAACTAGCTGGGGTACTTGAGTGTGCCTTTGAACAAACATCTTAATTTTTAAATTTCATTCCTCACAAATGAAACACAATCAAAGTTTTTAAAGATTAAAGTTTAATGTTATCAAATACATAAAAAAATTAAACCTTGAAGTCATCAAACAGACTCTTAAATCTTCACTCACCAAAGCCATGACTTACTTCAACAGAGGAAAAGTCATTTAAAGATAATAAAAGCTTCTTTTCCATTTTTATAAATAATACTGGTAATCCAATATGTCACAATTATGCAGTTATGCTCCTTTACTTGTTTACTCTAGACAACTAAGATCTTTGTTTTTCAAACATTCTACCCTGAATTAAAATCTCTAGCTCTGCTACTTTAAGAGCGCAAAAAAAATCAGAGTTTTAGGGTACTTTATGCAAAACACAGTATTTGCATTCTAAATACATTAAACAAATCTAAAACTAACAAAGTGCTGTATAAAGTAAGAATGCATTAGACCTAAGTAATTAAAAGGACAGAACTTGTAATTTTATCCAAATGATAGAAGAGAAAGCATCCCCTCTTCAAAATCTCCATCCTACCTTTAAGCACATGTATTTGTCTAGCAAATACCTTCCCACACCCCCACACATAACCCATAAAATTCTCTCCCTGCCAATTTCTCTCCCTTGCCATCTCTGCCCCGAAGGATAATAATATTCAACTTAGTTTTGTTTGGGTCACAAATAACACACTGATATAGTCTGTCCTTTTGTTTTTTTAATTCATTTATTCACATGTGCATACACTGTTTGGGCCATTTCTCCCCCCTGCCCCCGCCTCCTCCCTCTCCCTCCAACCCCCCTCGCTGATATAGCCTGTCTTAATCCTCGTACTGCATACAGTATCTCTTCTTTATGTAGAAATGGCAGTAAACATTTGGGACTGGGAGGCACAAAGGACTCATCTTTAAAATCAACTAATTTGTCTAGCTCTAATCCTCCATCTAAGCAGAATTAGTGACGTCAAACCAGTTTCCATGGCACAACCAGACTCATGACAACTCGGTTTTATCAAGCAGAAGGACAAAATGGGCTGCACTTAATTGCACACAAAACCAAACCCTAGATAATCTCTCTTTTTCTGGGGACATGGGAACAATTCTAAGACTGGAAGGTACATTAAGAATGTTTGCTGAATTTCTGTAATGAAGACTCATGTTGCTCATAATTCAACACATTTCCTGGTTTGTTATGACAAGCATCCAAATAAACAAATCAAAAAACATTTTCTGTGATGCACCATTCTTAATTTATCATACTGCTTACTTGCTAACTGTCACACAATGGTGTCTCAGTGGTACAAATTATTGAGGATCTACTAGAACTCAAATACTGTATTTAAAAAAAAACAGCAAACACCAGTGGCTATAAAGAAGCATCTTTTCATATGAACATATTCACTTCCATTATTAGTCCTCCCACAAGCCAAAACATTAAACTTGCCCAGTCCTATAAATTTAGTACCTTGCTGTTTATAGCTCTCTATAGCTATGTTCTTTAAGAGAATTCTGTTAGACCTTTACAATTCCCTTTAAGACTCTCTTTAATTGTCATCTGGGTAAAAAAATTTGCCAAGTTTTTGTTCTATAAATGACCCATCATTTTGTCAGACTGTTGTAGTATCCTTGTTCTCACCTTATAAAAATACTATTGTCAGAGGAAGTAATACGTCTTGTCTGAAATAAGTCACTGATTTCTGCCTTCCTCAGGAATCCTCAGCACTGCCCCACAATGCAGGGTAGGAGCGGTAGGGATGTGTGAATGTTGCTGTGAAGAACTGGAACCACAGGGTCAATCCCAGTTTAGACAGCTAACTAGATATGGGGCTTGATGGAGGCAAGGGAGAATGTGCCAAAAAAAAAAGACTCAAATCACAATTCTTCACATTTCCACTTCACAAAGAGAAGGCAGAAGCATGCTCTTGCAGGGTCATTATATTATACAGTTTTTAAGCTTAAAAATAAAACTGAAATTGGTATAGACAGGTCTCTAATAGACTCTCAGGAAGACAGAGAAATATATCAAAATAGAATCCTGTGTCAGAAAAGAATCCTAGAACACAGGGTCAGGTATATAATTAGGACTAGCAATCTAAACACTTATATTTATACAAATATTGCTTTGTTGAAGAAAGTTTGCAAACATTTAGCACATGAAAATTACCTGCCGTAAAACACCGTAACATGTCATAATTCCACCTTAAGCAATACAATATGAAAAAGGCTATTTTTAGCTTTCTTGTGGTTGTTATGGCAACCACCTCCTGGCTCCAGCTGTACACAATGTTTATAATTCCAGGGAAGTAGAAAGAGAGAGTTTCCTCTATAATATAATTATGCACTTTCTACTTCTATGGTAATAATACCTTAGTTTGATTATAAATACTTGTTTAGTGATAAGTCAGTTGGCTCTAGGATACGGTTCTAGAGGGTTTGGAAAATCTCAAACCTCAGAGGTAGAATCAATGAAAGGAAGAAGAAAGAAAACAAAAACCCTACCAACAAAGGATCTTTCTAAAGGACAGTGCTTTACTCAATGAGAACACTAATCCTATGGAAACCAACCACAGGAAATGGCATTTTGGAGTGGTGTAAACAGTAGGCTACACTGAAGCCACTTACAAAGTGTAAGTAAGACACTTTAGGATGATCTGTTCACCTGGAGTTTTTCTTTCCTTTTGGGCACACAGCTAACATTTCTGGCTTCTCTTGCAGTTTGTTGTAGCCTGTGACAGACTGAGCTCTGTACAATGAAATGTGGACAGAAGTAATGTATACCACTTCCAAGTCTGGCTCATGAAACGTCTGTTAAAGTCATACTGATTTTCTTCCTTTGACCACTAGCTGGATGCAGAGGAGAACTCCAAGACTACAAAGAATGATGGGGCCTCAGATCCCAGAACGACTAGGTAGGTAGGTGAGGGAAAACTAAACCTTGACCATGTTAAGCCACTGAGATTTGGGGCAGTCTATTACTACCATTAGCCTACCTTGACTAATACACATAGTAACTCCTAAAATTCAAGTGGACACAGATTAGCCTGCTCTTAATCAAAAGTACTAATTCATAAAATCCATGTACAATTCTCACTAGTCCTAAGCAAGTACCACAATCACACCCATGATGTCAGTTTCAGTCTATGACCCACAGGGCTTTCCATCATTTCTCAACTTCAGTTTAAAATAAACTTGCCTTCTTAAAGATAAGGATCCAACTATCTTCTGAGTATTCTATGATAAACTTTGTCTATGAATGCCCATGGAATGGATGAATTCTTTTCTTTGCACTGTTTGTTTTTATCTACTGCTTCAACTATAACTGTGGTAATGGCTGTCAGGTCTAAAGAGATAGCAGTGAAGTTCCTAGTTCTTTCCATTTGTATAATTTACTTATGTAGTTTTACAGCACTCCATCTCGTTGAGTCTCCATTTTTTCCACTTGTCAAATGAGTGCTTTCAATTAATTTAAAGCATTGGATTTCCACCACTCTTTGAATCCAATGCATTATGCTCTGTGAAACGATTTCACAACCATTCTTTTTTGATATGGTTTTCATCAACACACTTTAAAATTTCTTTTATGATACCTCTGTGGTTTATAATTATATTCTTCTTTTCTTTTCTTTATTTGCAGTGTTGGAGATGGAACCTAAGGCTAGGTAAATGCTCTAACACTGAGTGACATTCCCAGCCCAAGTATTTCATCTTTAATGGACAGATTTACCACATTGAATTAATATAAAATGGAACTACAAAGAATTTTGTAGAGTAACAATTTCTTGATCAGTCTCTGTAGATGCTCAGTAGATGGACTCCTAACCTCAGTTTCTTCATCAACACAGGGGGAAGGCTATAAAAGCTAAATGAATGAACAAATATTAAGTTCTAAGCACAACACATGGCACACAGAGGCACTCAATAAACATAAGCTGTAATCCCTGCCTGAAGCAGGTCAGAGACATCTCTTAACACAAGTGGGGTCCTTGGATCCTTCTTTTTCAAAGCTGTTTCCTTTGGGTCTCTTCCAAACTCAAAGCTGTTTTGCAGAGGAAGCATGATTGTGAATCCCTAAATTCAGCAAATGATCAAGCTGGCTCAAGATGCAAACCTAGCTCTTTCAACAGGTTTTCTTTGAAGGCCTAGCCATCATTCAGGTTTTTCCAAGGAAGGAACAGAGCTTAGTTACAATTTTGTACTTCATGCTATTTCAAATGTAAAAACTCTACCACATATTTCTCAATAAAAATGAAGTCATTCAGCATATCTTAGTGGTACCCAATTTAAACTGGGCCACAAATGGGGCCAGAGGACATTGCCTTTTCTCTACAGTGGTTGCTCTGATACATTCTGATCTCTTCATAGCATACCTATATTCCTAGGCATACACTCTCCCACTAAGATGGGAGAAACCTGAGTGCAGTCTTGCTCATGAAACTCCACTGATTTTGGCTAAGATGATACAGCTTTAAGAAGGCATTCCCGGGAATATCCCAGGAACTCTATCCACCCCCTCAGAATAGCAGGCAATTGAGTTAGTGATGATGGTGACTCAGGCTGGCTTTTTAATCCTGATCCAAAGGAACCACCACTACCATAGAGGAGAAAATAGAGTTGAGTGGAAAGGGCTTCCTCCACCAATGAGTCACACTCTACCATGTGACTCGCCTGGCACTAAGACATGGAGCTAGGTTCATTAGTCACTTTAATGACATTTTCAAAGAAAGGATTCTCCCTATAAATAATAATGAGCTCTGCATCCACAGTGTTTGTGTGTGAGCTTGTGACTCACCTTTCTACCATGCCAGGCAGTACCAATCGTGTCACCTGCAAAAGAGAAAACAAAACATTCATGATAGCTGAGGATACAGGCAATGGAGTGAAGGAAGGCCACCCACACAAAAGAGAAAGGAATCAGGAAACCACTCACCACTCATACAAACAGCAGTTTACTTTATATATTCTGTATAACTTGGCTTTGTCAAGAATGCATAAAAAAGAAGCAGATGAAATGACTGGAGTTAATACTGGGAATATGCTCAGTGAGCTTGGCTAAAATTAGCCTTACCTAGAATGTAAGACTGGCAGTAGTCATTACAAGATTTATAGTGAAATGGACATCTCCCAAAATGACATACATCATCACTTATAACAACAGTCTTCCTACCAAGGTAACTTAAATTTTCTAATCTCAAGAGCTCAAATAATCTTTTCTAATTAAAAAAAAAGCCTTTGAGAGAATGCTATGAAGTGGTATATTGGCAAATAGTAAGTGCATCTTTCATTTCTTGTGTCGGTTCAGCTAGTTGTGAAGAAAACATCCTTAAAGAAACTTAAGGTTGTCTGTGGTCTCTAGTAACCAACAATGAAAAAAAGGGTGACAACTGCAGTTTTTAAAGACTTCATAATTGTTAGCAAAATACATATAATGATTAGAGAAGCTACTTTGAAACTCTGCTTTGAGATACTAGTTTAGATATCTGCTTAGTCAACATGATACCATAGTTAAGTACTGAGGTTGGAACATGAATTCCTGACTCCTAGATTGCATCAGTTCTCTAAGAAACAAATGCTGTTTTGGAATAATGAAGTTTGAATGCCTGCCAAGCATAGAAATTAAAGCTTTCTATCTTAAATAATATTATATATTAATTAAAATGCACAGTATTGTGATGAGAAATTTTTTTTCTTAGAAATATTCTGAAGAATGAAAAAGTGATCTAGGTTTTACCCCAGTAAACTCTGCTATGTGGATGTCTAATTCAGAGGTCAACTCTGGAACCTTCACATACACTTTTTAGTGAAAACATGAACTCAAGCTGACACTATGCCTAAAAAATGTACTTATTATCACCAACTTCAAAACAAAGGCCTGTGTGTAAAATATGGAATCATTTCAAAAGAAGTATATGGGTTTGGCTAATTCTTCTGGCCTAGATGAAAGAGAAGAAACCATAAGAACAAGTTTGAACTAAAGCTACCATGCCTCCCTCCTCTTATGTGTAAGTCAACACTTTTCATTTTAAACTCATTTTCATAGCATGAAGAGGCAGAGACTGCCAATTGTTCTCCAATATTTATCCTTTCCTTAATACAGTGCAATTGAAGCTGTAGTTGGATACATGGTCTTTTAGTGCCATGTTAAACAAACAAACAAACAAACAAACACGTTCTTCTATAACCTTTCTTGCAGCTGCATATGGCCTATGTCTATGCTCTATCTAATAAGACATGAAGAGAAGTAATACATGTAATTTCTTGGTCATGCCCTTAAAGGGAAGAGGGGATCTATGTCTTCTCTATCGCCTTTCCTCTTCCTGGGGCTAGAAGGTGGAGTGACTTTGAGCTAGTCGTTCCTCTTCCTCTGCAGAGACCTAATGTATTAAATGAAGAAGGCACCCACATTACACAGTATTACATTCTGAATCTCAAATGGGGCAGTGTATATATAATATACCTAGCACAGAGCACAGCAGAGACACACCTGGGAAACTGGTGTCCTCTCCTGTCTGCCTGCGTATCCTTTTAGGATGCTGCAGCACCAACTGCCTTGCCCTGCCTCTAAGTATAGTGTGCCCCTGACAGCTTAGAATCAAAGCAATGACACATTTTAAGGTCATGCAGTTCAACTAATCACAAAGAAGTTTCTGGACAGTTCTATCAATATTTTAAAATATCTCATTTGGGATCTTCTTAGTGTAATGGAACTAGTCTAAGATTAGATTGTAATGATGATATAAAACTCTGTAAGTTTATTAAAAATCATTGAACACTTAAAACACATGAATTTTATGGCATGTAACTTATTCCTAAATAAAGTTTTAAAATAATCCCCAATAATCATGGATAAGAATAAATAACTGAAATCACAAAATATATCTGATGTTCAGGAGACAGAAGAGCGCTCAAAATGTTCTATGCATATCAATTTATAGCCGGGAGCAACATGACGGAAAAAGTCAGTCTTCGGTTCAGTTGAGACTACGTTATCTACAGGCACCAGGGTGGGTAGTGAGAACTCAGTATCTAATGGCACAACAGATATGTAAATATATTATTACGAGTACTGCCATGAGCAGACAGAGGGCACTGGTGTTTAGGAGAAGGACTGTTATATCTAAGAATCAGGAAAACCTCACAGATTATGCTGCAGTTAAATATTAAAAGAATAACTCCTATTTCCACTAGGCAGAAAAGAAATTCCAAAAAGAACAAGAATGCAAAAGGACAAACAACTGCGAAAAAATTCAATGCATGCTGTAACTGCTGTGTTTAAAAGAACTATCTGTTGGATGGAAGAATTAAACATACAAAGAAGTAAAAACTATGTGCATCTGTTAGATGTATCATGCAACTTCCATTTGTGTAACATATGGATAGATCCCATATAAGTAAAACTGATGCACACCAGGGATATTAACAGTTGTGGAATATTCCATTCTAAAGGACAGATTGTATGCATCCTTCATAGTACCTAAAAATTTTTTTTTTTGTGGCACTGGGATTTGAACTCAGGGCCTTATGCTTGCTAGGCAGGCACTCTACCACTTGCGCCACTTGCCAGCCCTGAAAACTTTTTTTTAATGTGTTTTATCAGGGGACAATAATGCTTACCTAATATGTTATAAAGACATCATCCAATCATTTTGTGAAAAGAAGCTATTATTCAGTTCCCCAAAGTGCTGAGATCACCAGAAACAAAATATGAAGAAAGACTAATAATAAAAATGTCGTGTGTATGTGTACAGGCATTTGAATTAAGGAAATGAGACTTGTTAACTGCAATGTAGCTAAGTGAAGTTCAGAAGGGGTAAATGGTACCTGTTTAACTTACCTATAGTAACGGAGAGAAAGATGAGATTTATAAGCAAAGATTAATCTGGAGCACTTCTAGAAAAGCCCAGTAAGAATTTAACTTTTGACTGGATTACTGGGGAAATACACATGCAGGAGATACTTTTTTCCTTTATACCACACCATATATTAACTGTCTCTTTTCTAAATGGCAAAGATTATCCAGAAAATGGGCAGAGACAAAATGAAAACCTCAAAATAAAATTGTATTTATAAAATTATAGCAACTGCATGCTAAGCATTAAATGTCTTCTTGCTGACCTTATATGTATGGACATGATTAAAATATATTCTTTACACATGTAAATTAAAAGTTTTAATAACTTCACAGAAAGGAAGGTTTCTTCTTTTGATGCCTTGCTAGTAAAGAGTCAGAGATACTTGTTGAATGTTCAATGACCAAATGATCCATTCACAAAGACTAAGTCCTCTTAGGTAAAAGTTAAATTCTTCCTTATAGCTCATTAGCGCCTCCTTTTAAATTCTGACTAAATTATTTCTCCTTGCCATAAGATGGAATACTGTTTTTAAAAAATCTGTCAAAGAGTAATAATGTTGAAAAGGCTGAGAAAAGTTAACTTGAAACCTGCATGCTTTTACAAAATTAATACCTCCATCTATACTGAAACTGTCTTACCTTCTAATCAGATTGTAAGTTATAAATTCAATTTCAAGTCTTCTTTGTTTGGGTATGTGTATACAAGTCATTCTTAATATTCAACACACAAGTGGAGAGACTTTACCATGTTCACATTAAATTAAATTCTCTTTAACATCAAGTATTACATAGGTTATTTATTCAAGTTGTTAATAGTCTCATTTTACTTGTATGCACCAATTGGTATATTGATATCTGGTTACTTATACCAATATGCCAAGCATTACTGTGAAATCTCACTGTGTATCTGAACTCCATTTCACAGCTCACAAGCTGTTTCTGGAGTTAATTCAATATGCTAATTTTAGGCCATCTGCAGGTGATAATTGCTGTACCAGGAATTTTTTCATTTCTCTTAACATGTTTCTAAAATAATGTTACCATAATTTGTAAGTTCAGTGGCTAAGACTATTACACAAGTAGTAGTAAACATGACTTCTACGTTTTTTCTTCCATGGTGAGATGGTTTCCAAAAGGGCATAGCCAGCAGTTTTAATTCAGTTTTTCCCAAGAAGATAAAAGTTGTCGTAATAGTACTTATACAACAAAAGCTTCAAATCTCTGCAGGAAAAACAAGTGCTTCCCTACTTACATACATGTATCTTTAATGACAGATTCATTAATCCTTATCACAGAAAAAGACAGTGATGCCTAAAATCTAAATCTAAAGGTGAAGACAAATCAATACACGTTATCACACTAAGATATTGTATCACTTCACATACAAGCTGGTCTTAAATTATAAAAATATGTAACAGTATAATGAATTGTTTTATATATTGTTTAGTATGAGAGCAAATTTAGAATTCCTTTGGGGATACCACATACTCAACTTCAATAATGAAAATTTACTAGCTTGCTGATAGAATTATGTATATTCTGGTGAGGAAACACAGAAGAAGTTCATTCAGCCCATACAAAATCAAAATCAGTATTACTAGATCATTCAGTTGAGACACACAACTCAAAAGGCAATGGCTGACCTGGAAAATCCTTGTTAATATTAAAATATAGCCATCTGTGGCTGTGATTAAGTCTAACTTTTTTCTCTTGGTATTCATGAATCTTGCTCACATTTTTGGCAACGATCTTGCATGGCTTTTATAATCAGAAAAGCCCCTACAATCTATTTCTAAAAAATTTAGTATGAGTACAATTTTTTCTCTTTTATTTCTGTGGCATTAGTAATCAATAATTTGTTTTCCCACTGTTTAGTATGAAAATGGATACAAGAGAAATTATTTTTGTATCATGTGACCTCTAGCACTTAAGCATTTTTTTTGAAAGAACAAAGAAAATACTATTGCATAATGCTTAAAGACAACTAAAATCCCATATGAAAAGATTCATCAAAATTTATGACACTCTAACATTAAGAAAATATTGTTACCTGTATCACCATTACATGTGAACAGGGAATATAGGGTAGCAATTTGCCCTCTAACCCAGTCAAACCCTCAAGATTCCAGGCTATTCCTACACAAAATTAGGACATCACAAACAGCCACCTCTGCCATGCCTTTATTCCTTCTACAGACACCTGCTCAAATCAAACAGGATTTGAATTTAAGCAACTGAAAAGTAAACCCACACAATTTAGAAGGAAATAATTTCTTTGATACCAAACCTGAAACAAGTTTTCAACTGAAATAATTAGCAATTTAAAAAAATCATAGTATAACTGTGAAAAGAATTAACAATGTTATACAATGCCTATATTGAAGAAATTAAATGGTAACTCTACTGGAAGTCATACTAGAACGACACAGCACACACTTTTTTTTGGCAAGTGTATAATTTGAGCTCTGTGGAAGCAAGAACACAACTTAATTAGAAATTCTTAGAATCTCACCTGAAAGACTAATAGAATATTTACTGCACAGGGGGTGAAAAGCTTAATAAGTAAAGTTCTTAGAGTGCTTTGAGATCTCCAAGTATTATTTGATTTTCTTTTTTAATGTTTCAATCTTGGTGGAGGTTGAGAGCTCTCTTTGCCATTTTTTTCCCTGCCCCATATTACTTAACCTGAAATTCTACCCCAAGCCATAAAGACCAGAACTTTTCCTTTTGTAATAAATTCTACTTTGATCTACATGAAAATAATGTAACAAAAGAAAAAGAAGAGAATGTTCTAGAATACAGGGCTACATGCCAACTAATAATGATGATGCTAAAGCCATAATTTGTAAACTCAAAACAAAAATTTAGAAAAAGAACACACATCATATACAGCTTTTCTAAGTTTAGTGTACTGCAATACGCTAAGTGCTTCCACTACGTAAATTTTTCTAAAATAAGTTGACTTCTCAAAAGATCCTTAATATTCTCAGATTTTACATTTCTGCCATACCTAAGACATATTTTCCCCATATAAACTAGCTTCACTTTGAGCTGGGAAGAACTTTAAAACCCATCTACCTACAACTATTCTTTTTTTTTTTTTATGGTGAAAAAAAATGTGTATTTAGAATTAGCCAGCTGGACTCCGTTTAGATGATTCCAATTTTGTTGACAACATCCAAAGCATCATAATCAGGAGCTAGTCGAATATAAGACTTCCTCTCTCCATCAGGCCTGATCAGTGTATTGACCTTAGCCACATCAGTATCATAGAGCTTCTTCATAGCCTGCTTGATCTGGTGCTTGCTGGCCTTGACATCCACAATGAACACAAGTGTGTTGTTGTCTTCTATCTTCTTCATGGCTGACTCGGTGGTCAGGGGGAACTTGATGATGGCATAGTGGTCAAGCTTGTTTCTCCTGGTGGCACTCTTCCTAGGGTATTTGGGCTGCCTCCAGAGCCTCAGTGTGTTGGGCCGCCTGAAGGTGGGTGACATGCGTATCTTCTTTTTGTGGCTGTGGACACCTTTCAGCTCTGCCTTCTTGGCTTTCAAAGCCTTTGCTTTGGCTTCAGCTTTGGGAGGGGCAGGAGCTTCCTTCTTCACTTTCGGCGCCATCTTGGTGAAAAGCTACTCTTTTATTTTTTCAAAGAAGAAAACTATGGAAAGAACAATTATCATACAGTTGGGAAATCCATCATGTTGTAATTATGCCTGAAGCAGCCCGTTACTAACAGACTTGAAGGGCTAAATGTATCCAATAATTTGACATTTTTTAGGAAGAATGATAGCTGCTTTCAAAATGGATGAAAAAAACTAGATACTAACTTGGAACATCTACATGTAGAAAAGCCCTTGGTGAGAAATCAGTGATGAGGTCCATACGCTTCTTCTCATCATTTGTAAGTGTGCTAACGTTGTTCACTTAAATCCTGAAATCAGGGTGCCGGAATGTATTCTTAGCAAAATTCTTAAATACAATTAGCCTACTGAACAGAACTAGTCTTACAGATTTCCAAATTGATACAGGGCTCCCCCTACTGGTGCTGTGTCACATGCCAAAGGCAAATCTATGTAAGGAAAGGAAAACAAATACTTCAGTGCTTTTCATCCATCTGTCCACTCTTCCAAATGTTTATCATCTACACCATTAGCAGGGAATAGCATTAGGCACTTCAGGGTACATGACATAAAATGAACATATAGTGGTACAGGAGGGAAAAAGTAGCTTTTCAAAAGCGTCCTAAGGCTCCAGAGCAACAGGTACTTCAGATATTATCTGGACAGTGCTCATCTGAAAACAACAGATTATTGTGGTCCACAGTTCATTGAGGTCCTACTTTGATTCAGAGAATCATAGGAATGGAAAATTGCCTAAATGTCTATGTCCCCCAAAAATTCATATTTAGAAACCTAATCCCCAATGTGGTGGTATAAAGGGGTGGGGACTTTTAGAAAATGATTAATCATATCATGAGGTCACTCCATGATGTAAAAGAGGCCTGAGGAAGCCTGTTTTTCCCCTTCCCCCTTGCTGTGCTGAGAGGGCACAGCAAGAAAGCACCATCTACAAGAAGGAGTGTTCACCAGAAATTGAATCTGCTAGCACCTTGATTTGGGACTTCCCAGCCTCCAGAACTATAAGAAATAAATTTTGGTTCTTCATAAGCCACCCAGTCTATGATAGGGATAGTCTTTGTTATGGCAGCCCAAATGGAGTAAGATAGAAGAGACTGATTTAATCAAAGCCATTATAATCCCTCGACTCCATTAAGCAGTTGCTCTATTTGAGCAGACTGAACAGTTGGAGTCACCTGGAAGGTGACTCAAACTCAAATGCCAAGTATGACAAGGTAGAAGCAAAAATGAGTGAGGTGATCATACAGTAGAGACTAGAGGGCACTGAAGTGATCTGGTGAGAGGGGCCCAATTGCTTAGCATACTTAGCTACTACCCAGCTGTTATCACTTGTGGTCATGGAGCAGTTGAAGTCTGTGTTACCTGATTTTTAGATTTTTCCCCAAAGAAGCTAGAAATCTGGGCATGAAATTTCTTAATTTTGAAAACTGGGCCAACCAAAATATATTGGTAGGCCAAATCTGGTCCAGAGACCATAAGTTTTTAACCTCTGACCTAGAAACAGAAACAGAAACTCATCTTTGGCCCATTCTACTTCTGGCAGATGCAAAGATTAAGAAATTCTCACAACTTACTTCAGTAGAAATATCAACAACTGATCAAAGTTCAACATTCTAGAGCCATATAAAACCCATGTGAACCTTAATTCCCAAAGAATAAAAGCACATTCATAATTTTATTCAAAAACATCAATCTTACACCTGCCTAGGATAAGGTAGGAAACAAACAGGACAGAGCATCAACCTCATGGTGCTTATAATCGGTAGAGGGGCCTATGCTAAAATGAACTGCAGGGTGAAGGGAAGACTCACAGTGTGTGATGAAACTGCATAGTCCAGAGACCTAATTAATCTACTCTGAAGTGGTAAGGAATGTGCCAGCCCATCTCCACGTCCACCCCTAATAAGATAGGGTTTCAAGTTCTTACTTTGGTTGAATATCAGATTCTTGTTCCCTATCCTTCAACAAAGTAAATACTAAAACTCACTGTCAGTGGAGGTTGTTCATAGATTTTATTTGGGTTATGCTTGCTTCCATTTCTTTTCCTACTCTAAGAGAGGTAATAAAGAAGGTTAGAACACTCCCTTGATTTGGCAAAATGACAGAATAGAAGTTTCCTAAGGGAAAGGGCCATTTCCTACTTTTCACCTTACTGAACAAGCCCAGTAGCAGCCACAGGGTTCAAGGATCATGGGAAGGAATGGTTATCCCTCCCTTAGGTAGGACTCAGGCAGTTCAGGTAATATTGTTTGGACAGTGCTCATTTGAAAAGGAGTGAAAAGCCTATCATCTCTTCAGGTCCTAAAACTTTGACTGAAGGAATCAAAGAACAGTATTGCTTGCAGTAGAAGGGCAACCCCAAATTTGGCCAACATTAAAACATGTGATCTCAAATCAGAAACAAACAGTACAAACAAGATCTGTTTTGTCTTTGCAGGTTACTCCAGAGGCACTTGCACACCCATGTTTATTGCAGTACTATTCACAATAGCCAAGTTATGGAAACAGCCAAGATGCCCCATCACTGACGAATGGATTAAGAAAATGTGGTATCTATACACAATGGAATTTTATGCAGCCATGAAGAAGAACGAAATGTCATCATTCGCTGGTAAATGGATGGAATTGGAGAACATCATTCTGAGTGAGGTTAGCCTGGCCCAAAAGACCAAAAATCGTATGTTCTCCCTCATATGTGGACATTAGATTAAGGGCAAATACAACAAGGGGATTGGACTTTGAGCACATGATAAAAGCTTTAGCACACAAGGAGGGGTGAGGATAGGTAAGACACCTAAAAAATTAGCTAGCATTTGTTGCCCTTAACGCAGAGAAACTAAAGCAGATACCTTAAAAGCAACTGAGGCCAATAGGAAAAGGGGACCAGGAACTAGAGAAAAGGTGAGATCAAAAAGAATTAACCTAGAAGGTAACACACATGCACAGGAAATTAATGTGAGTCAACTCCCTGTATAGCTATCCTTATCTCAACCAGCAAAAACACTTGTTCCTTCCTATTATTGCTTATACTCTCTCTTCCTCAAAATTAGAGATAAGGGCAAAATAGTTTCTGCTGGGTATTGAGGGGGTAGGGGGGAGAAGGAGGGGGCGGAGTGGGTGGTAAGGGAGGGGGTTGGGGCAGGGAGGAGAAATGACATACGAATAATAAAACAATAAAATAAATAAATAAAACAGGGCCAAATAAACAAAGAAGGGAACAGATATCAAACAATTGCTTTAAAAAAAAAGAAGAAAAAATGTATAGAGTCACTGTATAAAACTTAGTAACAATAAAATAAAACAATAATTGAAAACAAAAAACAAAAAAATCTGTTTTGTCTTTGAATTGATATGGAACTCAGTGTACAAGTTGTTTGAAATTAGCCCTCTATTTGCCTGCCTCTGGAGCTGTGTGGCACCTTCTCCCATTTTCCATGATTTTTCAAATAGTGATCAATAGCCATTTAACAATTCTGCAAACTCTCCTGATGTTCTGGTTTGGAAATCCCTCCAGGCAGAAAACTGGAACTATTTTAGAAGAGTGTGGTTCAATATCATGAGATTTAATTGTCTTTAAACTCCACCATTTCTGCAATGAGGTCATTGTTCTTGATGAGAAATAAGACTTACCTTCAATTTTAGTATCTGAAATCCTAAGAAAAAAGTCCCACTTGGTAGGACTTCTGTTTTGGTTTGAGACTTCTCTGCCATATTGGTCACCTATATAGAACTTCTACACTACTTACCTGATCTATGGGGAACAAGAACAAGACTAAATTTATCCCTAAAGGATTGAGAACAACACTGGAAAAGCAGGCAATAAGGCTTTGAAGCATCTCTGGTAGAGCCTCGTTAAGTAAGCCAGCGAGAGGCAAGAGAGGAATAAAACCAAATCATTGGGTAAGATTAAAAAGTGAAACAATTAAATGGAACTTGAGAGCTAAATGTCCTGGGAGAGCTGTTTATAATAAAACATTAGGGTCTAAAGTCAAAACTGCTCAGGACCCCATCACCATCACTTTATCTAGCGGCGACCTGAAATTCCTTTTACCTAAGGATGTTATTATCCCACTGAAATGTGGGACTTCAGTGATTTTTATACTCACCTGACCTAGTCCCACAGGACATTTTAGAGCATATCAAATTGTTCTGTTGGTAATATTTCCTACCAATAAAACTCACAAGTGTGTAAGAAATTAGCATTTGTCTCCACGAACTCATTTCATGGGAGCAAGTATATATATGCCTACGTGAAGAGAAAGGGGAAGAGCAAGAATGAAGAGGAGGGAGAAGCATTTTATAATTTATTAAGATTTTAGAAATGGTGCCTCATTCTTATTTCATCACCATTTTTTAAAGTGCAAACTATTTTACAGTGCTATTGGATTTGTGCTGTTTTATCCACACTGGCCACCAGCACTACTTGGTCTTTAAACAAGGCCATGCTGTGATCACTAATACACATTCTGATCTATCTCAGATGCTGCATGAAGGACACCGTCTGTGGCTGTGGAGCACGGCAAACTGACTAGTGTTCCTAGATTAAGGGCAGGACCTTGGCCTTTTATCATTAGTATTCTGTACACTGCCAGCCAAAAGTACATGTTCTGGGAGACAAATGAGGCCATTGTTTTAAAAACTATGCAAACACCTAAGTTTAGACAAGCAGGAGGTGATAAGAGAAAATCCTAGTGGATCTAGAATAAAAACCTTACACAGGTTATTTGACAGTATAAATAATTTTATAAAATGAGATTTAAACACTTGAACATATTTATATATATTTATACGTATTACCTTTTAATTCTCACAACTCTCTGGGGTAAAGAGAATTATCATCTTCAAATTACAGATGGAAACCTGAGGCACTGAGGTTAAGTAATTTTCCCAAGGTCCAATATAAGTAGTACACGGTACAGTTATTTAATTTTGAACTTCATACAGATTATAAAACAATGATTACATTTATATAAATATGCTAAGAAAAATGCCTTTAAAACTACACAGATATATTCATATTAACCATGTTTAGAAACATCAGTTTTGAGCATGTGGGTCTTGTTCCAAATCGACTCAGTTCCACTTGTTACTCATTCACTTCACTTACACTGAATCTTGTGTGCAAAAAACCCTCAGTTAATAAAATACAGTGAGAGTGATTATTTGTTTTACAAATTTTTTAGCATTTTGCTACATCATTCATTTGAGGTGCCTTTAGGCAGCAAGCTAACCAATGTTCTTTGTCTTAAACAACAATTAACACTTCTACAAAACATGTTTCACAAGAAGAGGTATAGCCATACATGAACTGTTAGGCAAGGCATAACATTAGTACTAGGTTCTTGGACTTGAAACCAACCATGTAAAGGTTAGTTTCTTTCAGGACATGAAGACACAGGAGAATTTTTCTTTAAACACTCATAATGGAGAAAAATACCAACAATATGCCATAAAGTGAAAAATTAATGATTAATTCCTTTTTTTTTCTTTGTATAGGAGTTTGAACTCAGGGTCTCATACATTCTAAGCAGGCACTCTACCAGTTGAGCCATGCCCCCAGCCTGAATGATTAATCCTTATTTATATTTATCTGATCAATTTGAATACTTCTGCAATATTTTTTGATTTCTTTAAATAGACTACTATATGAGTTACTGAAAATGTATTTGGCTTTCCATAACAGTGGTCAAATTTAAAGTATCTGACACTGCCCATGAGAAATCTGCCTTGGACAACACTTTTTGCTGCTCCATATATGTAATCAAAGTATGGTAACTTTTTGTACTTATTGTTAAGAAAAATAAAAGGAGGGCAGGTGGGGTGGCTCAAGCTGTCAGAGTACCTGCCTAGCAAGCATGAAGCCCTGAGTTCAAAGCCCAGTACTGTCCAAAAAAAAAAAAAAGAAAGAAAGAAAAGGAAAATAGAATTTAGAGCACACATTTGCTCAGAAATGCTCACTGTGTTGTCTTTTAATGTTCCAGGTCATGGCTGTAACACATGCTTAGTAGTTAGCAACTAGGCTGGTTATTCCACGTGGCTAGTAAAAGCCACTCTCACTACATTATAGTTCCCCATTAATGCAGCACCACAACATCTAAGTCATCAATTTAAATGGATCAGGATCAAAGGGGACATAAAATGAAAACAAGTTATCAATGATGAACAGTAAGCAGGTGGATGAAGCTAATCAATCTCAGCTGAAGTTAGTTTTTATAGTCCTAGCACCTACAACAGTGTTTGTGTATAGAGGACATTTAGTAACTGTTAGGTTGATAGAAAGCAAACTAGGACAAACACTGGTTTGATGATAGTTCTTTCTACTTCCTGAAGATAAGTAAATAGAACACTTTCATTTGGAATACATGCTTACTCTAAAAGAGTTGACTAACATGAACCAATTTACTACACATCAGTGTTTTTAAATGTTAAGAGCCAAAAAAGGATGACAGATCTGTAATGAACCTACTTACCTTACAAACAGAGAGTATGTTAGTATTTATCAGGTTCTTGATCACCTGCAAAAAAAAATTGGAAAATTGTACATAAATTTGATCATGGAAATGTTAGATATATACTTAGGTGATCTAGTGATGTACTGAAAAGTTTCCCTATATCCTACAGTGACTTTGAAAAATTACAGGAGTTGGGGGTGCAGAGGCAAACTTTATTTCACTCTCAATGTTACATTTTTCTAACAAAAGCAGCAATTCATGCTAATATGCAAAATCCAAGATAAATGTACAAAAATTTGGAAGTGAAAGGAAACATCAAATCTAAAATAAATAGAATACTTTGCAATTTCCTCTCTGCTAAAATGGAGAGTAGAAATGATTGAGTGTAAGATTTTCAATAATTTTTAAAACTTTTTTTTTGTTTTTGGCTGTACTGGGTTTGACCTCAAGGCCTCACGCTGGCTAGGCAGGTGCTCTACCACTTGAGCCACTTTACCAGCCCTAATAATTTTAAAAACTTTACTCCTTCTGTGATGTGCTTTCTTCGTTTTCATAAAAGATTATTCATGTATCAAGGATGTAGCTATCAGTTTGGCAGAACTGGTTTACCTAAGTCAAGCATGCTAATATATATTAATATATTTATGACGTTTAAAATTGATGTTGAAAATCCTAATAGTTAAAATAGAGCTATTCTGATATAATAGAAAAAAAATAATGAGACTAGAGCTATTATTGATCCTGGAACTGTATAAATGAGGGTATAAATATTTTCTTTCTATCCTTCTAGCACTTCTATGAGGTTGCCTATTTTATGGGTGAGGAGCCTGAGACTAACTCAGGTAGGAGGCTGAAAAGCTGGGGTGTGAACCTCAAGGCAGCTGGACTCTAGTGCTTACAGTCTGAATCACTTCAACACCTGCATGCATTCTTTTTCTTAATAAACAAAGAGAGGCTCACATTGTCCAAGTCAGGAATTTCCAGAAAGTATTCAGGATACTCATATGACATTCCCACATTGTTCACTGGAAAGAGATGAGATCATTAGCTGATTGACATACATACATATTTTTTATTGAAATAATGAGGTTAAAGCTATTAAGACCAAAATGATACATACAATTACATTGAAATATTCTTTATGTCTGGACTGACTTTTCTCACACTTTTCTATCTAGAATCTGTCCTTCCTTAACAGTCCAGTTCATTTGTCTCTTCTTTCATTAAGCCGTTCTGTCTGTACTTACCATCTAACCCCTGTCAAAAGAGTTGTACTTACCTCTCACTTTCTATAGTTCCTTTAGGTAAGTGCATTCCTTTGGGCATGTGCCAAACTTTTCTCTACATCTTAGATTTTTATAGTGTAGTAGAAAGAGTGGAGGATTCTGTAGTGTTAGAGACTGGAAACTTGAGTTTTAGTTATAACTGTTTCAGAAAACATACGACCTAGGATAAGTCACATCTGTTATGCATCCCAGTCTGTTCATCTCTATTATGATAGCTTATTTAGTCACACAACAAATATTTGTCATGCACTTTTGGGCAACACATGTGCTGCTAGGAACTAGAAAAAGCAAAAGATGCCTTCTACACCATGGAGTTTACAATCTGGTAGGAAGGAAAAGGTGCTTAGTCAAAAGAATCAAACAATTATTTCATGACATTGAAAGTGCATTCCTGGAGAGCCTGACTTCATCTGGGAAATAAGGTTTTTTGGTAGCCATTAAAAAAGAAAGTAGGTCAGGGAGAGGGTGGGGGAGGGTGGCAGGGTGGAGAAATGACCCAAACAATGTATGCACATGTGAATAAATGAATTAAAAAAAAAAAGAGAGAGTGGGTCAGACCAAATGTCTCTGACATCATCTATCTAAGGCTTCCTTGATTCCTCACTTTATCACCTAGCCTAAGGTTGGAGCTGTAAGACTATTGACACAATATGAATAAACATATATATGATCAGGTCCAAGATTTTAGTACCCAGATATCCTATGGTTTTCTCTAGCATTGGAAAGGGAAAGACAAACCCTGAATAAAGAACATGTAAAAGAATCTAAAAATGAATAAAATATCTTTGGGTTTTTATTAGCTAAGTAACTCATGAAATGGATTATCTAGCTACCTATCTACATTTAACTGTCACAACAGTCCTACTAGGTAGTTCCTATTCTCCCTTTATACATTAGAAACTGAATTTCACAGCAGTTAAATAATTTGCCCAAGGACACAGAGCAAACTAAGCCAGAATTCAAACTCAGGAAATTTACTACATTAAACCCATCACTCACCTTCATCCAGGATTCAATCCAGTAATAACTGGATAATAAACAAAAATCTGATAGCAATGTTTAATAAAACTGAAGTATTAGAAAAGAAAGGGTTCAGTTGCAAAAAGATAACAAAATCATGACCAGCTTGCTAAAGCTTATGAGGAATTGTGCCAGACAAACCTGATAGGAGTAATAGTAAATTTTTCAAAAAAGCTAATAGAATTAGTAGTAAAAAGACAATGAATAGGATTCTGTATTTAGCTAAGTAAGTCACTTGAGGCTGTGAGTTTCTATATTTTGCTTGAAAATTCGATCAGGATGGCTTGAACAAGACCACTAAAACCTGTCTGAAAATATGAAATCTAAAGATAATGGCAAAGCAAACTGTGTTTAATTAGGATTCATGTCCACCTGAGTAGAGACAGTATCAAAACACAATTAGTAACAAATCCAAATACATTTTTATTTTATTTAATAGGTTCCATAAAATATCTGTTAAGTACTAAGCTAAAATGTATGTTCACCAGACTTTGCTTTGCCCTATATAAAAGTAAAATGTTCTTTACAAAGTCAATTTAGGATAACGGAATCTTCCAGGGAAGGTTTTACCAAATTGGAATATTTTTCAGGATTAAAAAATTCTATCATGTATAGCAAATTCCTCTCCCATATCTAGAAAACTTTTTATTCACAGATTTCTTCTTTCCATGGAAGTCTTAACACTATATTTCAAACTGCTAAAGAAAATAATTATAAATCTCAAAATACAGACTTGGTGGATTTGTTTTTGTTTTAGATCTGAGAACTTGGCAAATAGCACATGATTTAACAATCTTAACATGTGCTACAAGTACTAAGCTGAGCTAAGGAAGTCCATGAATAACTCAGCAAGCAGGGAAATATTCTGCTTATGGTGACATCAACAATAGTCTTCTGATCTGTCTCTCCTAATTGAGCAAAGGAAAGCTACCATTGCTGTCTATTCACACAATAAAAATGTGAACATCTATCTAACATAGCTTTGTAAGTAAACATGCTCAATACTCAGAATTTCAGCCTAAAGCAATAAATTGTATGTAAAAGGACTGTGCTTTCACTAACATTAAGTACACACGCACACAGAGACACACACAGTTAAAGCTATACTTTACCAGCATCAGGACTCCTAAGTCCCTTTTTTCTTTCTTGGTTGTATCTTTTGCTTGTAAAAAGTATGCTACCCATCATCTTTCCACAGTAAGTAATCACTTTAGAGTGTTATTATTTAAGGGTATAGAGAAAAACAACTGTTGTTCTTACTGGCACTCAGAAAATGATACCCCAAAATATGGTGCTTTGGGATGCTGATAATTTTAAATTAAAGTCATTTGGGGATCAGCAAATTCTGGATAAGACTTTCTCCAAAGTTCCCTTATCTACTTAAATACCGGATCCACCCAACAGGAGCACAACTGCCTTCAATCTTCTTACTGAAATTTCATTAACCAAGGAAGATTACACTCACAGACTGAAAATCAAGTATCACACCAAGAGCATATAAAAACTTTGTCCCAGGCCATTGTCTGTTCTCTGGGCCTATTCATGGTTTCTAAAAATCATTTCCTATCCCTCTAAAACTGCCTACACTTTCCCTACCTCCATCTCCTACAAAGAGGTTATTTAAGCTTCAACCATCTGGCTCTTTATTTGAATTTCATATTTTGTGTGGTGCCTGAGCACATGTACCATGTTAACAAGTTTGTATGCTGCTTCTCCTACTTGGTTATTGTCAGTTTATTTCAGCACTCAATTAGCAAACCTTCAGAGGAAAAGTTTAAACTTCTCTACACTCTCAAATAGTTATTTCAATAAACTGCAGCATAGTGGGAAGTTTTTGAAGGTAAACTCACTGCAATTTTATTTTGAGACATTAGGTGGCAGCAATAACTAAACAGCAGACAGAAAGCTTTCATGAATTGCTAAAGGAAGAAAACAGGCTTTGGGTAGGAGTGAAAGATGGACATACTCCCATTACAATTTAATCTCATTAAGAATGGGTGCAGGCAGTGCCATCTCTCTATATTACAAGATTCTTTATAGGTATCACAAAACCAAGCAATATCACAAGTTGTTCTAACATTATTCAGAAAGTTGAAAATCTCTTCAGAAGCACAGCATCTTAAATTAGTGTTAAATTACATGATTAGTGAGTTTTCTTATATTCAAGTGAGGCACCAGAGATAGATTTAATATTTTTTCCAGTTACCTTCAAAACCCTTTTACTAGCACAATGTACCATGTTTTTCAGAAAACGAGGCATATCTATATAATCTCAGAATTCTCACCACTATCCCAGTGTCTTGAACACTAGTAAAATCTTTCCTGTCAGTTTCTCATTAGAGTTCTATGATTGGAAAGAGCCTACTAGAAGAGATGAGGCAGACAGAGAACAGAGGTGAAACGAGGTCAAGAGCAAAGACAAGGGAAGTAGAAAGAGAAGCTGGTGACAGGCAGAGGCAAGATCCTCGTGATACTCGTGGAGTTGATCCTCTCAGGGAGAACTGGCAGGGACTGTGCTGAGCTACAGGCTGCAGCCCCATCCAGAACTCCAGAAAACACAAGTATCAATGTAAGTGCTTCATTTTAAAAACCTAGAGTAATTCTGAATGTTGCGTGCATAGTCTAAATTATATCATACTACTTCAAAAAATCATTTCCTGCAAATTAAAACCACACTAAGATTCCACTTCACCCCTGTTAGAATAGCCATCATCAGCAACACCACGAACAACAGGTGTTGGCGAGGATGCGGGGAAAAAGGAACCCTCTTACACTGTTGGTGGGAATGTAAACTAGTACAACCACTCTGGAAAAAAATTTGGAGGCTACTTAAAAAGCTAAACATTGATCTACCATTTGATCCAGCAATACCACTCTTGGGGATATACCCAAAAGACTGTGACACAGGTTACTCCAGAGGCACCTGCACACCCATATTTATTGTGGCACTATTCACAATAGCCAAGTTATGGAAACAGCCAAGATGCCCCACCACTGACGAATGGATTAAGAAAATGTGGTATCTATACACAATGGAATTTTATGCAGCCATGAAGAAGAACGAAATGTCATCATTCACTGGTAAATGGATGGAATTGGAGAACATCATTCTGAGTGAGGTTAGCCTGGCCCAAAAGACCAAAAATCGTATGTTCTCCCTCATATGTGGACATTAGATCAAGGGCAAACACAACAAGGGGATTGGACTTTGAGCACATGATAAAAGTGAGAGCACACAAGGGAGGGGTGAGGATAGGTAAGACACCTAAAAAACTAGCTAGCATTTGTTGCCCTTAACTCAGAGAAACTAAAGCAGATACCTTAAAAGCAACTGAGGCCAATAGGAAAAGGGGAACAGGAACTAGAGAAAAGGTGAGATCAAAAAGAATTAACCTAGAAGGTAACACACATGCACAGGAAATTAATGTGAGTCAACTCCCTGTATAGGTATCCTTATCTCAACCAGCAAAAACCCTTGTTCCTTTCTATTATGGGTTATACTCTCTCTACAACAAAATTAGAAATAAGGGCAAAATAGTTTCTGCTGGGTATTGAGGGGGTAGGTAGGAGAAGGAGGGGGCGGAGTGGGAGGTAAGGGAGGGAGTGGGGGCAGGGAGGAGAAATGACCCAAGCCTTGTATGCACATATGAATAATAAAAAAAAAAATCATTTCCACGTGTTAAAAAATAAAGAACATGCACAAGATTTTTGTTTCTTCT